CTTAGATTGAAAGACCCCCTTTTTTTCATTTCTATGTCTTTTCTCTAGATCGATAGGTGCTGTGACTGCTCCTATTACTAGTAATATGATCTTTCCTCATTTGCATTTTTTAAAGTAAGGATATTTCACCCTATCTGATGATCTAAACGTTTTACTTCTCTCTGATTTAGTGCCCGATTCCATAAGTTTAAATATAAATCTCTCGTTTAGATGATTATCTCTAAAGATTTGTGAGTTGTATACACAGTTTTAATGTTTAGATTTTCTTCTCGAATATATATATATATATATTTTTTATTTAAATTCAGATTTAAATATTAGCTACTGAAAAAAGTAAACAGGTTTGTCAGATTGTGATATTCTTATATGATAAAATATTCTTTAAATTTTTTCAGCACATTTTCATTTATGCGCCTGAAAATCGACTTTTCCTTCATGATACGGGTATAATACGGAGAAGTACTTGGAGCATTTTCTTTCAAAAAGATGACAGCTGTCGTTGTCATATACGGTTACTTCATTCGTAAATGCTATCTGAAAAGTGGTGTTTCATAAATATAAAAGTTTTAAACGTTATAATAGTTTTTCGTTGTATATTATCTTATTTAATTAGGCAAATTGCTTCTAAACCCGTTCCGAGTATAACAAATGATGTTTATGCATAGAAATTATACACTCTAAGCCTTCATCCTATTGGTTTAAATACTGTAAGTTGCCCTGTTATAATAATAATAATAATAATAATAAAGTTTCATAATTAAAATTTTCCATTGTTGGTAACTTTTATTTTTATTCAAATAATTTTTATAAAATTGCAAAATTTTCTTGGTTTCAATAATTCCTCTTATGTTTTTAATGTGTTTCTTCATTAACTTTAAGAATACGTAGCTTAAATCTAGATATTATCCTGAATATTTATGCTTTTAATCTTCATTTCCTGGAAGAAAGAAAGGATAATGAAGTTTGGCTAAGTACTTAATGTATGAGTAAATTTGCATGATATTTAAGCATTTTCTATAAAGGAAGTCATGTGCAATAATTTAATTATCGTTATGCCCACATTAAAATCGATATGGCTGCCAATAACATGCAGATATTACACTGAATCCTAGTCAAGATTTTATTTTTATTTCTGTATTTGAAGTAGTTTAAATTAATATATACAGTATATATTTTTTTTATCTTACCAATTAACCTTTTTGCTTTACGATACATATATAGGATCTAAAAATTACTTTTATATCTTATATTAGAATTATGAAACAATTTACATCAAATACACGTATATAATGTCAATAAAATATTGCAAATATTAAAAATTATATAATAAAATAAACAAAATTTGGAATTAATTCTTTTAAATTTAAAGCATCTTCATCTCTGGACTGTAATTTGAGTTTAAATATAAAAATTCTATCATACTTCAAACTATAGAGATTTTGGTCGGAGCCCAACATCCAGAAAATTCCCAATTCAAATGGGAACGATGTAAATCGGGCATAACTCTATTCACAGATCTCTCTAATACGTTGGACTTTTTAAAACTTTACAACGGAGCAAAATAAATTTGGCCTATAATCTCTCTTAAAAATATATATATAAAACGAAACAGAAAAATTCAATCTGTTTACTTAGTTTCCCCTCTGTCTCTTTTCTATAAGTTTTGTTTATCTAACGGAATTTTTCCAATCTCGACTTTCAAATCCTTTACGCTTTTTCTCCGTGCAATCACACAAGACCAATCTTACCTTGAAACAATAGTATTTGGGATGAATCCTATTCAATCCCCTTTCAAAGAGATCGAACGAAACAGAAGGTACTTCAGATATTGAAGCACCCGAAAAATATTGGCAAGATAGATAAAACTCGGTGAATACTGGTTTCTATAAAGAAGCTCCGCAGAAATCGGTCGAATGCAATATGTTTGGTCGTGTTTAGACCTCCTACCGTGAATTCTAGCTCTTCCACATAGAAGACACCAATAGCTTTATTGCAACTGTATCTATTGTCCAAAATATATTTTCCCATTCAACCTCGATTGTATCCTCGCAATGCGAATTTTTCCTCACATCAATGAAAAATCTTCACACCTACAATCACCTTTTTTTTCTTCATCGCCACCTATTTCAAATGAGATTCGATTTTATTTCTCTTGAATATAAACTGTCATCCTATATAAACACACATTCACATACATACACACAATATAAATATATAGTTTTTTTATTTTTTCCTCTTCTTCTTTCAGGTGATCTATGGATTCATCATTTTTCTGGAAAATAGCTAAAAGATATGATTTTCAAATGACGTAAATTCGATCGCGTCTCTAGGAAAATTTATTTTCTGCCGAGATAAGGTGAAATTGTATTTTCATTCTGTTTAAAACGATTTTTGCACGGCGGAGTAATAAGTTTCGGTGTCGTAACCGATTTGGTTTCGCAGGTGACAGAATTTTCCAATGTTTTTGCCATTATCTAAATGAATTCCTACTCCACGTCATCAAATTTTGCATCGTAAAAATTGCTATGAAAAGCAACAAACATCGTTACGTCACGAAAATTTGTTCCTACGACGTAACGTATTCTGTTGTTTGTTTCGTAACGGCTGTAGGAGGAAAAAAATGCATTGTTACGGAATCAACAGAAATTCACTTTCACTAAAGAATAGTGTTGCTTTCGTTACAAACAAGTTATTGTTTCGAAATATAACAAAAAAAAACATTGTTATTATTGTTACGACATCAATACTATCGTAGTTCTGAAGCAACAAATTTGTTGTTATAAAAAACAATTTATTACAAGAAACAAAAAACGCTGTTATTTTATTTTAAAAAATCTATTCTTACGAAGCAATAAATATTATTAAATCAGAGAAAGTCATTAATACGTCATATAAGATATTATTGCGTCACAAAAATGCATTGTTACGAAATGATAAATATTGTTATTTCGTAACAATCAATTTTATGACGTAATAGAAGTATTTGTCATTTTCTTAAGAATGGATATTATTAAGTCATTTCAACTAATTATTGCGTAAAGACATTGTTTGTATTATCGAAATTCATTGTTACTGAGCTTAAATTGTTTGTATCAACGAAATTTATTGTTGCATCACAATAAATATTTTAGAGTAGGAAATTCATTAATGCGAATCTGTAATGCCAATGATACTTATTACTCCGAACGACAGCTAATATTGTTACGTCACTGAAACTTATTATTACATGGCAATCATTATTACGTCACCGAATGTCGTATTGCATTGTTTAATCAAACTACACATAAACATCAAACACTATTACGAAATATTGACGCAATAATATTTGATGACGTATGAATGGCCAAAATCAAGTTTTTATTAAAGTCATTCTTTTAAACGAATTTTCATTATTTCAACCGCAATTTCGATTAGAAAAATAAAAGAAAAACGGAAAGAAAAGTAATCTAATCCATATTGATTGGATCTAAATGATTAAATTTCACGAAAAACTAAAGATATAATTAAGTCAGTAAATTACTATTTACGTCTCTTAAGTAATCAGTATTAGAGCTGTTTTAATGTAAAGATATTTAGAAAAGAAAATATCTCTTTCCATCTCCTATGTCCATCTATTAGCCAAAATACTAAACGAAATGAATAAAAATTATGCGAAAAAATTAATAAAATAGTTTGCAAGGTTTATAATATATTTCCATACTCTTGCATGAAACATAGGAGCGATCGATTTGGATAAACGTTCGATATTTAGTAACTTTAGCCTGGTCCTCTTTTGTCAAATGAACATCAATTAGATTGTAATTGCCCTTAATTGTGTAGTGGTAAAGAACAAAGGTTTGATTATAGTAAATAACCCATTTAGAATTTCCAAACGTAGAACATAAGCCAAAGACAAAAGTCGATTTATTATAATTAAAGGTATCAGCTACGTCGATCAATACTTATTGATGTCGATAGGGGGAAGAGGGAGGGAGAAGGGAAAAAAGTACTGCAGCTTCGTTAGCGCCCTCTGTGGGAACAATCTCTAATCTCCACGCTTTTCTTCTTCGCCTTTACTATATATATATTTTTTTGTTTTTTCCCTTCTTCGTTCCCAACATGTAAGTCCAAAGACTTAGAAGTAAATCCGTAGAGACGGGCTGACAACTAGCAATTCCTGTTTCTCATTAATCTCTTTCGTCACGTCCATAGCTTAAGCCCGGTTCGAAATGTTGTGTCCTTGCTTTCTCTCGGCGATAATCATGCGAACAACGTCATTGATCCTCGCAACATAACTACTTGTCAAACATAATAACATTGTGTTACTAAGAAATTGCTCTACTAACAATATTACTTTCTCTTTAAGTAATGGAAATTGGAATACGGTAAAAGTTATTAATGGTATCTGAGATACGACGTCCTCACTCTTAAAAAAAGAGAGAGATATTTAAATTATATAAAATGAATTTGAATGCATTTTAGTAAAGATTTCGGTCCACTTAAATTGTGTTTTTCCTATTGCATTCCTTAAAGAGAAAATCGTCGTTGAAACTCTCTAAATTAAATTTTTTTCCTCCACTGAATGTTATGACATAAATACGTTTCGAATTTTGTTTTTTTTACATATTAACGATTAGTAATCGCTTTTAATTATACGATGTTTGCTCGAATGTTTTTAAATTTATACCAAATCTTTATAAAATTTCTAGCTTTTCTTTTTAAATTGAATTTTTTAAATCTTAAAACAGCTCAATTTAAATGTACTTGAATAGAGAATTTACGTAATTATTTACGGTAAATTCATACTTAAACTCTAAATAAATACGGTAAATACGGCTGTAAGAAAGTGTGCCAATGTTGGGAGGAAGTAAAAATCTTAACATCTCTCGAAGCTAAAGCGCAATGTTTAGGTAAGTAAAAACTTATATAATTTTTTAAAATATCTTTTTACGACATGTAAGCGTTAAAATTTACGCTTCTTTACTTCCTGTAAAGCTATAATTCATCGACAAATCCTTTAATCGAAGAAAATCTGTTGGAAATATATATAATTTTTTAAAATATTATTTTACGACATGTAAGCGTTAAAATTTACGCTTCTTTACTTCCTGTAAAGCTATAATTCATCGACAAATCCTTTCTAACTTGCAATTGACCATTTTCGTGGATTCCAAATCTTCATAAGACTTTTATTAACCATCATCTATTACTTACAGTATTTTTATCTTCTGGATGCATTATTTATTTATCGTTTCGTGTACAATTCCTATCAAGACAAATTTATTATTTTTATCTTATTTACTATAGTATAAATGACTAGACAATATTACGCGATTTTTCTCTGTTTTATGGGTACATTCACTTTACCATTTATACAATAAATTCATTGGATATTTTATTATATAAAATTATTTAGAGAAGAAAGGAGAGTAAAAATTGATACACATTTTGATAATGGCGAAAATACACGCACGTATATATATACGTTAGTCGATTTTATGTATGGACATTTCTATTGGCAATAGTAAAATTTTCTAAATTAGATGGCATTTGTAATATTTTTCTGATTTATTCGCCATTATCCTATTTCAACTATTAAGTTAAAGAGAGCAAGTCCTGCAGATCACAAAATCAATGCTTTAGATACCAGGAAACATCCGAAATTTACATGTAACCATCATCACACGGGCTTGATCCATGTAACCATAAACCTTATAGTAAATGATTGTATCATAGAACTTCAGTGAAAAGAAAATATCCCAATTCCCAGATAAAAATTCCAACACAAATAAGTGATAATATGCCGACTATTCTCTAGATTTATTTTTGGAACATCGAATACATTGCTAAAGTTCGTTCAACCGTTGATGATCCTAGAAATAAACAAATTACTCTCTGGACTATTTTCTTTGTTCTTTTATTGTCTATCCTTCACCTTCTGACGTCACCATTTACGTCAAAAGTGAATGACATCCGTTTGCCCGGAACGAGTTGGGACTTTTGCCAAAATTCTCTTCCTCGTGTTCTGTAGCAATGACATCTTTTCGTCTCCTTCTACACCTTCTGTCTAATTCAGATGCTTCTATATTGAGATGCCGTATAATGGATAAGCACCAGTGACCAGGGGATAATTTCTCATCAATGGATATATTTATTTGTTCTATTTTCACCTAAAAGCGTTACATTAGTAAGTAGTTTAAGCTATAATATTAAAATTAACTTCTATTTTTCACTCTGTCTCTTTCTCGCTCTCTCTCTCTCTCTCTCCGTCTGTCTTCTAAATCCGATCCGGCAGCATCCGCTTCTTAAATAGAATTGTCTTATTTAAAGCTTACATTACTACTAGATTACGAATCAAAATTAATATTTTGTTCAGTATTTCGTCAATCGATCGAGATACTGCCATTTTGTAAGTCCTTGACCCTATTAAAACGCTTTCTCCCTGTTTAAATTGATAACTTAATTTAACTTAGATGGCAGAGGATAAATCAGCTAACATTTAAGCAGCTCCAAAATTAAGTAAAACTCTTTGTTTGGCACATTAGAGAGGATTAAAATGAATGAATGTCCGTCTACCAGATAATATAAAATCAAGTCATCTACCGATACTTCCTTGTTTTGATGCCCGTGGATAGAGACGAGAAGAATAAGTTAACAATCCTTTCTATCTTGCAAGCAATTAACTTTGCGTTAAACTTGTTACCATGACGACGGCAACCATGTTTTTCACTTTAATTACGGTGCCATGTATGAACATTTTTCAAAGGTTGTTTTCATAAGGGCAATTATTAGGCGAGGACAGACAACAAACGGGAGACTTGTATCTAGTCATTAATCTTGTTGGTATGCCCATACGATCATTGAACATACTTATTCCATCAAGTTATTCTCAGGACAGAAAAAAATACGATTAATGAATGAATTAGATTCATAATACAGAAAAGTTGATAACAATTGCAAGGAAAAAAATAGGATTGAAATTTATGAACCATCTACCCAGGTGTGATGTTACATGCGCGTTAAAAACGATGAAAGAATCTTGAAAAATTAGAAAAAAAGTTAAAATAAGTAAGTAAATGAATCTCTTCTTTCCTAAAATTAATATTAAAAAAGGTAGTTACAATTTTGAATTGTGTTGCTGCAATAGGATAAGCCTCTCTACGTGATTTGCAAGTAAAAATTTCTCGTCGAACAAAAAAAAAAAATGTTTATATAATTAAACCCTTTAAATCAAACTTTCTAGAATACTTTTTTGTATTCACTTTTATTTAATGTATCATAACAAATAGAGAAAAAAGAAGAAGATGGTAAGATTGTGATCTGTTTAATAACATACATCACTTAGGATTAACGATGGTTACAAGACAATAATTCAAATTAAAAAACAGTACTTTCTCTCGATAATTACTTTTGTTAAGTTAAAAATGGCTTTTCTATCGCTTTTTTTCCCCTGCATAAAGATTATATATAATGTAGGATAAGTGGGTGTTTAAGCCATTTAGATTAGTTATATCCATCATTCATTAGCATCATGTTGTACAGTACATTAATGGGATCTTTGCGAGATTTATGAAGAATGGGATAAATATATACTCCATTTGTCGTAAAGACAATTTATTATTGGCATTACGTTATGTAATTGCAAGCGAAATATATTTGTCAAAATTCGAAAAATATATTTGTAGAGATTTCTCTTGTAACTTAGTTTCATTTAGAAAAGGGGCGTGCGTATTATATAAAGGTATACAGAAAGATACATCAGCAATACTTATCTTATCATATTATTCAAAGATTTACTTCTTTTCGTTTCCTTTTCTTTTGCTTTTTTTCATTTATTTTCGTCCGTTTCGGATCTATTGTTGTCTTCTGATTCAAACCAAAATGAATGCTCGACATAACGGCGCAAAGAAAAGGAAACAAAATAAAGAATAAACAAAAAAAAAAAAAGGCAGATGTGTTCGCATTTCCTGCAGGCTTGTGAACATAGTAATCAGTAGAGTGTTGGAAAAAACATCTTTGCTGTTGAAACTAAACATACATCTTCAGGCGTTCAAATATTTTATGGGATTTCTCTATCTAACAGATCGCAAAATTTCCTTTTAACTATAATTTTTTTACATTTTTTTTTCTCGAGTCATTTAAGAAATGGTGATTTTTATTCACGATCAAATGAATTAAATGCTCGTCGTAATTTTTTTAATATACTATTTTCTTCTTTTTTCTGTAAACTTTCGGAACTTCAAAAGCATTTAATACAGTTTTAAAAAATATACTTCCCTTTTTAGTTGGTTTTTTAGAATCTTTGATTGAATAAATATTTTTAAAAAAGTTATTTTTTAAAGTTATTACTATGAAGTGTATATTTGCTGATTTTTATTAACATTTTAAATATATATATATATATTTTTTTTTTTCTTGATTTTTTATTATGAAAAAGCTAACAAGTTGTTCGACACTTAATTAAATTAAAGAGAATTAACAAAAGTATTGTCTGGAAGATGTTATGTGGAAAAATTCCCTTCGTCCCCTATATTCCCTCACTAGCTCAATTTATATCCAGGAGGGATGGGAGTGGTCACATGACGAAGGACACGCCTCGTCTGTCTCCGGGCATTTTTCTTTTTTTCTTTTTTCCTCTGTGTGTAGTGCAGTAAAGTGCAGCTCAGCAAGTTTGTCTCCGAATCGACCCACCGCAACTTGCCACCTGGCGTCCGAAAATGGAAATTAGCAGGCCAACACTCGGGATGTATCCATTGATTGTTGGCAGCTACAAATGAAATAGTTCACTGTATAATTAGGCAAGTGGGGGCTTGTAAAGTGCGACATGTTTCCCGAATGGTATTAATAAGATTTTCTTCATGCTACTCTTGTTATCGATTACGATAGGTATAGGTATAGAGAAGGAGAAAACTTTAATAACGCAGATGTTTCCGATGTAATATATATATAAATATCCCAGCACCGATATAGGATTGTCAATATTTTATCCGAGATAATTCGGAGGTTTGCCAGATATTACAAGTTAAGCAGAAACACAAAACCGCTTTTACTTTTGCTCGAATAACTTTCAGAAACCATCCAACAAATTTAAAAAACGAAAAAACATGTACATTCTTCCAGCTTTTCTATGCCAAAGTTTGCTATCTAATCTATATCTTTAAGCAACACAAATTACCTATACTTAACGAGCATCAGAGAAAACATCAAAGGCATCACCCAAATAATAGTTTTGAATCGAAACCAAGTAATGACCGGTTACGTTTCTTTTTGTAACAAGGCTAATAAGAATGTTTATAGGAAAAAATCTGGTTATTAATTTGCAGCCAAATGCACCCGTTTGCAAGGCAAAGATAAGATGGAAATGGTGGAGCTAATTAGGATTCAGTGCACACTCACCATATTTACGATCACATTGGCCCAGTGTCATATTCAACCTCGATTAAAGTACTGCATTTCTCCCTCTCACATCTGTCGGGGACATAAACGCTATCCTATAATAAAGGCAAGTATTGAATCTATAGAAGAGCTAATCTCTGGAGCAATGTCATTTTCTACCTTAATCCCGCTTCTGAGTAAAGTTCCAGCATCTTCCACACAATACCAATTTTACCATTAACGATTATATAAATGATACAGAACCGTATCCGAAAAGAGAATCATTTATCTTTTTTTTTTGCTTTCGATTTATGTTGTAAATACATATTTTTTTCTTATATGAGATTTTAATAAACATGACACAGTGTAATAACGATTGCTGCATATAATTAACCTCTCTTGGCACAAGTATTCTCTGAGGGTAAGTAGTTCTCTACTCCAGAGAGATTAGCGAGTGAATGAATATTGATGGGATAAATCCGTCGTGTGTTTGGGAGTTTGCTAAGTGAACTCGTAACCTACTATTCGTATTGCAATTACCGAAGACAATTAAGCTTAACTTCTCTTGTTTGACACGAATGTTCAATTCCTATTGGTAAATTACAAGATAGGATTTGATAACACGTATTGAGATATGTCAAACATCAATTTGCTTGTATGTACATGTTTGAAATGCTATTTTAATTATGATTTTAGCCTATAGTAGTCTTTATAAAATATATATTTTGTAGTATATAATATTTTAAGAAAGTAAAGAAAAAATTTTTTGATTATTTTCTTAACTTGATGTCAAAGAAGCTAATGATTTTTTTCCCTCCTTATTTTGGAATTTGCACTAAGAACAATCTTTTGTATGAATCCAATTAACGCATGCGACATTTAGATAATAGGCGATCTGGAATGCAGAATTCATGAAGCGAATGTTAAGAAGGTGCCGATTAAAGTGTTTTTCACAGCCACTTCTCGTACAAAACTATGTTCTGTGGTATTCTGGATTAATTTGAACGTGAAGTAGTAGCAATTAACCTCTAGAAAATGTCTTACTATAATATTTACGTTCGGAACATTTTTAAAAGTAAAATTTCACGTCTTGGTGACTCTTAACGCAAATATACTCATATTTTAAGTGTTAGAAAACTTCGACATTTATATTTTTTGATAGAATAAAGGCAAAATATAATTAAATCTAATCATAAAGTGATATCTAGATTAATACAAGGGAGAGAACACTTATTGTTCTAGCGCCCGGAGCTACAAATCATGAAGAGCTTAGCTAGAGTACAGTCTTCTTATATAGGAAACATTATCTGGTTACACATAGTCTAAATATTTCCTGTCCAAGCGGTTATTATTTATAAGATATTGCCAACAGCAGGTTAATATGAAGGAAGGTTATTCGACTTGTCCTGTTTAATACACTATTGCCTGCTGACATCTCGAGAATGATTTAACTGGTGCTACATTTAATACAGCTGAATTAGAGTTATAAATAAGCTAGGTTTTCTGCCTATTGAAATTCTTGAAAATCTACCAAGCGAGATTAGAATTTATAAGAAAATTGTAATTTAGTAATTTAGAGGTGACATTATTTATTAACTCATTCCCTCGAGGTGAACTAAACGGATGTAACATAAGCAAAAATTACATGTAGCTTAAATGTTTTCATTTAGTTTCAGAGAATTCGAACGTATTATAATTTAATTAACATTAAAAAAGTTACCGAAAGTATTGACAAAGAAATGACAGTGTAAGTATTTACATGGGTAATATTTTTGTTCTTACAACATGGTGCACTAAAGCTTCTTGTACAGTACGTGCTTTCAATATTTAGAGTGGATGGTTCCTGTCCAAATTACCCTCACAATAGATGCCCGATACGACAGTGAAGGACTCTGAGTCACTGATCCAATACTTTTGGGAATTTATCGAAACGCTCGAAGATTGCTCCACATGTTCTCTTCATATGTAGATATAGAGAAAGCTGACGTAAGGTGGAGGAGAAAGAAAAGAAGGGAAAAAATCAAATAGAATTTCGGAACTTAGAAGGTTTAAATAAAAAATTATTGTCCGGAAGTTTTTTAAATCGTAAAATGTATCTATAGTTGAAAAGATACAATCGATATAATGTGATCACTCGAAAATGTTCTATGTGTCTTCCATTATCAATGTCCGTTGGTAAATGGATAGAAAACCATAAGAAACGACAAACAAGATTAGGAATGGGTGGGATTTCAGCTTAGGGTAGATAATCGAGCAGTCGGGGACGTTGAATGACAAATGACTCTAAGGAGGAGATCCATTGGTCGCTCAGGTAACGCAGTAAAATGAGTTGTAGACATTGCCATCAATTTTATGGAATATACTCCTCTTAAAATCGACTTTCTCAAAATTGTACAAGTTTCTTTTTTTCTTTAATTATAAAGTATATTTATTCTGATATCTAAAAATATTATTTTAATAAAAAACTTTTCGAGGAGTAAGTATCACTGACATCGGTAGAGGTACTGTAATATTAATGTTTGTTTTAATTCCTTCTGAAGAGGTTTAAATTTCTCCAGAGGAAAAAGTGTAAAAGTGATTTATGAGTGTTTACCGAAATTGAAAAAAGTATTTTTTCGATTGAAACGAATTTTTTTTTTCTCGTTAATTGAAGGTGTAGTAATAAAAATCAGCGAGAAATCTTCTGTAAATGTCAGAAGATAAGAAATATTTTCTGTAACTAATATTGTCGTAAGAGTCGTAATAGTTTATTGTTCGAAATATTGACATATTGATAGGAAATCCCGACAAGTATCTCGCAAGAAACGACACGAATATGAAGAAAAATCAAAACAAACAGAAAATATGACGTCGAAATGGTTCCTAACGACTATTTTACTCTCGTCCGCGTCCTATCCATCACCATGCTGCGTCAACTTCATATGTTGCTTGTCAACGCTTAAGATTTATATATATTATTTTCTTTAGTGTTATTTTATTATTAACCTAGTGTTTGACGTACTTTATTGGACTTGTCTACTTTAATTTTTTGTTTTTCGACAGGTAAAACTGCGGGATTCTTTACAACGCCATGTTAATCGCCAATGGAAACCCGCAAAAGATCGCCATCTTGTGTGTGTTCGTTTGCTGGACGACTGCAGTTCGGGTGTTCGGTCCTTGTCCTTTTCGATGCATCTGCGACGACGTCGAATTGGCTGTCAGGTGTGATAATGCCGGTCTCGACGTCGTTCCCATCACTCTCAATCCAGGTCTCCGAGAACTGTATCTTGGAAACAACAGGATCAAGAGTATAATGTCCTCCTTTTCTGTTTACAATGACTTAGAGTATTTAGATATGTCAAAGAATCAGTTGGTGTCTCTTGGAAAAAACAATTTCGAAATCCAGAGGCGCCTCCGTATTTTGCACCTAAACGACAACATGGTCTCTTCATTGAACAATCATACTTTTCGGGGTTTAATATCTCTCCAAGTTCTTCGACTGGATAAGAATTTCCTCTTAGAAATTACGGCTAATGTGTTTCAAAGTCTTTCATCCTTGGAGATACTCGATTTATCTCAAAACAGAATATCTAATTTGGCTCCTGCAGCTTTCAGTGGACTATATCAATTAAAGAAATTATTACTAAGGGACAACAAACTGATGCAAATACCAACAGCTTCCTTCCAGAGAATCCTAGGATTGCAGTTTCTCAATTTAGGATTAAATTCCTTTCAAGCTATTCCCGGTAACGCCTTCTTTCCTCTTGTAAGCTTGAGAACTTTAGTTTTAGATGGTTGTGGAATTCAAATGGTACAGCAAGGGGCCTTTAAAAGGTTAGATAATTTACTTACATTGCACCTGGAAGATAATGAGCTCTTCTCTGTGCCTGTGGATGCTTTGGGTGACATTGGGCGCTTAGAGGAACTCCATATAGGACAAAATAGGATGACACATTTTAAAGCTCTATCTTTTCAAGGATTGACATCTCTGCGAATTTTAGTTGCCAATGGATGTCACGAACTCGAAAGGATAGAAAAAGGTGCATTCGAAGATAACACACGATTAGAAAAAGTTGTTATTAATCACAATCCGAGTCTAGTATACGTGGATCCCAATGCATTCTCCCATTTGAATCATCTCCGATACGTCAGCCTAAGAGGTAATGCTTTCTACACAATACCGGAAGACCTTTTACCTTGGGAGAAGTTGGAATATTTCGATTTGAGAGACAACCCACTGACATGTAACTGCAGTTTGCTATGGTTATGGAGTATGTTACGATCGAAGAATTTTTCTTCGGAGTCTCCTGGAGATACGACGCGTGTTTTGTGTGTAAGTCCGCCTCACCTTAGAGGAAGACCATTGTCCGAATCCAGAATGGAAGACCTAGATTGTTATCAGAACACGAGAAGGCAAATAGTGACAGGTACGGTGGCCGCCGCGGGAATTCTAATATTAGCTACAATAACTTTGGGATTGTGGCATCGCCAGAAAATAGCTAGAGCTTTAGAAAAGAAGTGGAAACAGGACCAACAGGAAACGCAATATCAAAGATCCGAAACGCCAGAAAATCGATATGGACCAATGACACGAGTTGTTCGTCCAACTCCGAAAATATCACCGATAACTGAACTATAGCACGTCCACCTGGGATATGCAACTTCCTTCGCGATTACAAAAAAGAGATTATTTATAGAAAAGTTGTATTTGACGTTTGTCAAGATGATCCTGAATTGATACCACGCTGCTTCTTCCTAGTATCTGCTCAGCGATGCAATATTGTATCAAAAAATTAATGATGATTAATTCCATCAAAGTAATTCCCTTTATCAACTTTTCCAAATCCTTTTCCTCTTCCTGAAAATTTTCCTAAACATTCCCATATATTTTTACTTTATAGCAATAACTTGTGTCCTATCTTATTTATTATCCTATATTCACTTTCCAAATAAAGGTATATTTATTGTATCATAATTCTGTACATATTAATTTAATTATTTTAATTTCCAAAATAAGATAGGACACTAAGTGATATAGTTAAAAAAAACCTTCCTACCTCTTATACCTGTTACCTAATGTTTGAAATCAAATTTGTGTATATTTCTTGCCCACTTGTCTTCAAATTCTCTTCCCTCATCTATCAAAAGATGGAACAGTAATTTATAGGAAAAAAATGATACAAAACAAAATAGTGAAGTATATGCAATACATTGATTTGTGAACGATTTGGGTAATTATTAAATTTTAATAAAATGGCCCAAATAAATTTTAAGTTTCTTTGTTTTATTCATTTGATATATTTGCAATTATTTAAATTATATTAAGATTTAAAGCGAAATTACGAATTATTAACACTCCGATGGCGGCGTATAGTTATAGTACGGGTTTAACAAATTATTTAATAAATATTAATGTATTTTCATAAATGTATATTTCGTTTACGAAAACAATATATTTTAAAATAATAAACTTCAACAGTTATACGAAAATATATTTAATTTAAACTTTCAAATTCAAAATTAACGGTCAATTTACAACGGTCTCGAAACTGATTGGATAATTTAAACGATTTAAAATTAACGGTTATTTTATTAAAATTATTTACTCTATCTATAAAAATAAATAATTTATAATTTATTTGGTAAGTTATTAAAATAACATACATTTTCTCAATTCGGATATCATATTTTAAACAAGATAAGCTTTAATATTTGAGTGTAAAACTGAAAATATAGACTATGTTCATAAATAAAATTCGAATCGATCATTATAAAAAATTATAGGGATATAAATAACCGGAGCATCAACGAACACTAAGGATAATAGAATTAAAGTATTCGAACTCAATTTTTTAGGATCGTCGAGGGAATAGACCCTCCTGTCGCTTTCTGCATGCAAGTTTAATGTTTGTACTATACAATAGATAAACTTTATTTTATTAATATCAAGTTGGCTTTTTCACACATAACACACATTAAACGAGTGAATAGCCATCGGTATATATTAAAAGTGACATCATTCAATTCCAGAAACAATGAAAGATCTCTATAATATCCTTCGACATGCTTGCCAGATGTCGCATTAATCAGCAGGCAAGAGAAGAGAACATGGTGTATTGTGTGGACAAATGACAATTTAATTTCTGTCACAATCGATAGAACGAAAGGTTTATAATTCCCACAGACGTTATAATACAGATATTGTTTGCTTTAGAAGGTTATTACGGCATATCTCCATTTATTATTTACATATTAAGTTCAAGTCAAGCAATTATCAAAATAATTACTTTAACAAGTTCTCGAGATATTTACCAGTATTTATTTGATTTATAAAATGGGATCAGCGCGAAAGCAGACTGATAGATGAAACACATGGGATCTTAGCTATGGACCTAAAGGGCTATTTGGTTAGCCACAAAACCCAGAAGGCTTACTCAACAATATTTTTAACCATTAATAGTCACAATAACATATTAAAAGAATTGCCTCCTATTTAACCATTTATAAACACGTATATCGCTAAAAGTAAAGAATTATAAGTTCTTTAAGCTATTTATATGATGTTTTTTCTCCTTTTTTTAATCGTTATTAATTAATTTAGATATAATTTACATTAAAACTTTGGTAAAAGTAAGTTTCGTAATATTTATCGTTGTAGAGTACACGACTACGACCTTTGGGATGATCCTAGTTGCCATAAAGAGACTGCTTTCTGTACTTAAGTACAATAGAAGGCGTTAGATTCTCAGTTCGGAAATTTCAACTTGAGAGCTTTAACGACCTCATATACAATCCACAATAATCATTCTGAAGCCCGTGCAAGCAGAAAATCTTACATAGTTGGATAAAATTCATTAGGAGTTCTACCCTACAGCGTTATTCTTCAAAATTCTCGATTAATAGAGGAACTTGTTAAGATTTGAACTAATTTAAAATTTTAATATTATTTTAGCAACGTAACTGCACATAATATGCTACAGTTTTTTAAAAAATCCTGTTTGAATTGAAAATATTTTGGTTCTGATTCGCTAATGTTCTTTTCTTTTTAGAATAAATTATTCAAATAACGACTGAAGAGAAGTTATTTTATTTAAAGATGATTACCAAAAAATGTATTTTAAATAGAACATATTTCATTTGGGCAAAACACTTTATCATTTTGAAACAGAATTTATATATTAGAGCAAGATATAAGCTACACACGTTTACACATAAAAAGGTGATAACAATGAATACTACTCAATTTAGTTAAAAAGAAATTTCAGCTTTTTTTAAAAATTCTTTCTAAATTTTCTGTTCAAACAGAGACAAGGCGATGAGAAATGAAGGCTAAAGACCATTCTTCTTCTTGAATGTGAAAAATGAGGAGAACAGATTTTGCCAGAAGAGAACAACGTCAGGGGATACAGGACGAAATCCATAGTCGACAAATTTTTACTTGAACAAATATTTGCAACCTCCAGACTGTATTTTAACAATGAAAAGAATGAAATTAAAGTAGAAAAAAGATTGAAATTTCTATTTATATGGAGTTACGAAATATCACATCTCCTATATAAAAATCTATTTGAACAGAAACTACATTGTGACAAGTAAACATTTATAGAGCGGATCCGTGTCAATTAATTCAAGCTTAAAACCATTTATTCACTATCTATAACTTATAAATTAGATTGGTAAATATATATATGGTAATGAATTTTTTCTTCTATCTTCTTTCTCTAGCAGACCAGTTGCTGCATCCAGTACAATCGATGAAACATACTTTCACCTAGTCCACATTATGCAAGATAAAAAGAAAAATACAAATTTTATCACGAGGAAATAAGAAAAAGTTCAGGATGCGTGCTCTATCGAACAAGGAAGCGTCAATTTCTCCCTCTTTTTCACGCTCCGCATCCCGTGAGTCTCCCATTCTTGCTTCCATTGTTATCAGTGTTGACGTAATAAAGGTGAACGAATCAATGCTTCTCTATTGTTCTACTTTTCCTTCCGGCCTCAGCATCCCTCCTTCTGTCCTCTACCGGAGGAGAACGCTGATAAGCGCTATCCCTTTTTTTTCCTTCTTCTTCTTCTCTCGCTCTCGGTCCTCCCGGAGTTGAGTGTTGCACAATCAATCCTCGTCCTTAGAGACTGCAGAACTCTGTCCCAATTAATCGAGTCTTTTGTATTGTTTTCCATCCATTTCGATAGAGGTCGTTAGAAGGTGGGGTCCTACACCCAAATGTAGATACATGCTGATATGTCTTCTCCTCAGTCTATTGTCAGTTGACAGAAGAGGTCTTGTTTCTGTGGGTTGTGCCACGTGTTACTATAATGACTGATCTCCTGTATCATTCACTAAGAACTTAAAAGCAAAATTCCTGATCTAATTAAGATAAGAAACGATTCATTACTTATTAATTATCATCTTAATTATGGTTCGAATTGGATGATTAATTAATTTCTAATTTTAAGCATATATTTTTCTTTTAAAAAACTAATATATAATATAACAATTTAGAATTTAAAAAATATATCTTTTTATAAGATAAAAAAAATCAAAATCGATATTAAATTTATTTTCAATTTATGAACTGAAATCCAAAATTTACTTTAAAAAAATAATAAAAATTTATACATAAAAATAACAATTGTATTTAAATAATACGATAAATATTAAAAATTTTGATTACTTTCATTAATTTTTTTTTCGATTATAAAATTCTTTCGATACAACCTAAGTTTATGATAATGCTTTATAATAGCAATATTATTATTATTATTATCATCATTATTATTTCTTTAATATGATTTTTTTAAAGAATAAATTATTATTAATTTTTTAGTACATTTAATCGAATTTTTATTAGGTGAATCGAATTTTAGCAGTAAGCAAAAATGGCTTTTTGTTGGAGGGGGATAAAATATAAAATTATCTACAGTCACGTGGACGACAATATAAATACAAATGGTTTCACGAATGCGGATGTGGTGATGCTAGATTGGAGAGCATTTTTACGACATCCATTCGATTTTTATATCCTTTTGGTGATATATATTAGCCGAGTTTGTATTTCTTGTTGACATTTTTTTATTTAAAGTTAAAAAAAATTTTGTTTGAAAGAAACACATCCGAATTTATATTCCAGATTGTTTTCTACCAGAGATACAAATATGGAGAATTTCAACAAACTTGGCAATAAAATTGGCACAGAATTCTATCATCTTTATATTTCTAAAACGTATCTTTCCAATAAAAGTTATTCTACATTGTTCATTTAATCAAATAAACTTTAAACGTAGTTAAGTAAACATAATTAAGTAAGAACCGTGTTAGCTTTCTACCTAATTAATTATAGAATTAATTGGAATATAAACATAATTTAAAATGATTTTCAGAATAAATAATTCTTTATTTACGATCCTTAAGATATGCTGGAAATTTTTAAAGATATTTTAAGGTAATTGTTTGAGTTTAAAAAACACTAAAAAAACTCTTAGTACAAATGGTATAAAAAGCCGACACAATGTAAAGAATGATGTTGGATATTCTGGTTTTCACTAGTGGAAGTATAAAGTTCAGCAAGACTTAAGGAAACCATAATACTACAAAGTAGACTTAAACCACCTGTGGAAAACCTCTCAAAGTCCACTTGAAGACTTAAAATGTGTTCTGCCCTGACCCGGAGAAAGCTCAGTCAGACTATCTAATGGAATAGAATGCGGATCCTGCTCTTACACTACTACACAAGATGGTCTTTGCTAACATTCCAAGCGTACAATTGGAAGATTCTTCCTTCAAAAAGACAACACCGGAAAATCGGTTAAGTATACTCCGAGATCTGTATCCTGCATAAACAATTTATTCAAAATTAATCAAAATCTTACATTATTTAATATGTTTTTCGTCGTTTTATAATTGAAAAAAATATAAAGACATATAAAATTAATTAATAAATTATCTAATTTTTAAGATAATTTCTTTCACGTAAAAAAATTAACAAAATAATACATACGTGATTGAATTATATAGATTTTTTCATTATATTTTGTTTGTGAGGGAATTGGATTACATTGAATTTCTATTATTTCGTTTATCAATGTTTGTTTCCGTAAGCAAAGTTTCATATCATCCGCATGTTTCCAAACATGTAATGAATACGTCTGTATAGTCACAGCTTCGTATCATCCTATCCTTTCGTGTATATAATGAATATGTCTCTATAAATGTAACTACACAGCACCGCATCCTTCCTGCACACCATGAATAACTGTATATGC